CAGCAGCTCCAATCAATTCTTACAACCGCAATTATTATCATCGAGACAAATAACAGATGAAAAAGCTTAAAAAACAGATTTAAAATCAGTAGCTAACAGTTTAGAATGGTTGCCTGGCTTCAAACAGGTTTTAATTGATCTAACTTGACAGATCACCCAAGAACAGTCGCAGGCTATATTAAGGTAAAAGAATATGAGAAGAGAATGTGGACTCCAGAAGTACAAGCAATAGTATATAAAGTGAGTATTTTCAAGATTTCTTAAATTACCTTCAAAATGTATCACTCAAAAACTCTTCAAAATCCATTTGGCTGTCTACAAACTTTATTAGTCAGCTTGCAGTTTATTCTGAGTTGAAACTTGGCTAAGAAATCTCAGTTACAACGAAAAGATCACACAATGCACAATGTGTGTTAATAAGTGGATATGCTTGCACTGTTTATTAGCGTGGGATCCTCTGTCTGGTTTCTTTTTGCTGTCTCATAATGGCTGCTTCTATCTGAGCTTTTTGTTCCTTAGGGAAAAGTACATTTCCTAATTATTTTCCTTATGGCAATGTCCAGTTTTCTACCATTAATGCCCTCAAGTATTATAGTGTCATATCTTGTTTCCATACTATCATATTCATTTATTAACAATCCCTGAACGTCACATTTTCATCAACTAAGCAAAGTGACGGTGATCTGCCCTAAGAGATTTGAGGCTTCCAATCTCACATTGTAGAACTCTTGAAACAGAATTAGGCGTGTGTGGAAGGCTGGCTCAATGCATATCCCTCTTTTCAAACTTCATACCTATAGAGACTTCGTGTCTAATCCCACAACATGACAAAATTATAAATCCATTGGAATCAAACCTTAAGATGCTAAAACAACCTGAATAATTCTCTACATCTCTTCTCCACTCCCTCTTATCCTTTAAATGTTAAATGATCTGTTCACAGAACAGACAATCATGTATGATTTCTACAGCTACTAGCTTGAAACAAGCCAATTAGATTGTTTGATAGATTTAATAGACACGGCATGATCTATTAAAAGCAAAAATCTCTCTTTTATATCTCAATAACTAATCTCAACTAAAATTCTTCTCTTCATATAAGTACAAAACAGTTGTCCTCTGAATGTATAAAATGTTCTGTTTCAAGATTAGATCAAGCTATCCAGACATGAAGCCAAGAACACCACTCTTGGGACCATATCCTGAGCTCATCCGATTCACTGATGGAGTCCTGATTCACATGGAGTCTGTGAGGACTGATGTGGATGTGAACTGACCTGGATCGCATCCTTAACTCCAAGCACTGAAATGACAGTTTGACTCCTCTACATACAAAAGGCAGTGATCTCTTTTACTTCTTTTCCCCACAGATGTGAACACAGATGCAACTGCTTGGGCATAGGTGTGGGAAGGGAGGTGCACAACTGTCATCCCACCAGACAACCCAAATGAAGAGCAATAAGAAAAGACAAGAAGGGGAATGTTTTGCAGCCTCTTTGAATCGCTTCCTCTATCATCATTCCCAAATCCTTGACTGCTGCATTCACAAGACCATGTCTGGTTAAAAGAAAATGCATCTTGGCCTCAGCATACTCATGTCCTAAAGCACTGCAAATGTCTACTTAGCACTCATGAAACAATCACTACTGTAACCCAACATATGTCTCACATTAGTCTCTAAAGACACCAGATTCCCTCACAACCTAGCAATGCTTTTATTTTCATACATATTTTATTTTTATATTATTTTCATATTCTTAGAAAGCAGGTTGTTGCCATGCCAGGCAGAGAAGAAGCAATTGTTATTTTCACCAGAAAAGCCAAACACAAATTTAGTAAAACCATGTTGGTATTCTAACCAAAATTAACTTTAGACCTAAAGAGTAGAGGCAAACCTCTCCTCTGCAAAACCCATTAGTCCAGTGTGTTTGACTGGTACCTTGAGTGATGTGGGAAATAAATCTAATGCAATGCACTTGTTCCCTGGCCCTGCCACCTCAAAATGAGCACTACTAAAACAACAAACAAACCAACAAAAATAGACAGAAATAAACCAACCCACAAACAACAACAAAACCCCCCAAACAAATCCCAAACAAAAACAAGAGCATGTTTCAATGAGCTGGGGTAAGGTTAGGCAACAGAAATTTCTACAAGTGTGCTAGAGTCAGAGGCACAGTTCCTAGCTTTGTGAATGCCCAGTTCCCTGTGAAATGCATTTTGGGGTAAAGTGCAATATGCATAGAAGATCTTCTGTGGCAGGGTCTCTGGGGACTCCTCTTGCCCTGCACCCATTCTTCTGCTGATTCATTGCTGCTTGTGATGCAATGCTATCTTCAGCTGGGTGTAATTTATGGTTCTGGTTTTTTGTACAAGAACATATATTTTAATGAAACTTCTTGGAGTTGCATTGTCTGTGAGACCCCTCCCTTTGCACTAGATTTGCTTGGCATTGAATAAAAAATGAAGCTGTAAAGGAAAAGACAGAAGAATAGACGGACAGACTGCACAGGCACAGAAACACACACACTCACATCACAGTGGAAGAGGAGAGCTCACTGAAAGTGACATACCCTCTGCACTAAGGTACAGAGTGGTATTCAGGACAAATATAATGACCCTGAATATCTTAGCATTATCTCTGGCTTCTCAATATGCAGGCTACAGTTTTCCCTATTTTATTGTCTTGTTTGTTATTTTACTCTCTACATCATTAACTACTACATTAAACCTCTCATTTTTTTCCTTCAATTTTTCCCCTTTATTGTGCTTCAACACAACACAAGTTGGTACAGCATAATTAAAAGTGGCACTGACCAATATCCAACTGATCCAACCTTATTCACAAGCTCTCTGGACTTCACATCAAATTTTTCTCTTCTCCTATGCTCTGCATTACCTCTTGAAAGCAGAGATTGGTTCTGGAGTCTTTGACCCAGTCGTGAAGTGATTTAGAAACCGTTTTTCTTATGATGCTAAGTTGTCATAGCCTCTTGCAAACCCTGGAATATAGCCAGACCTATCGCATCCTCCTGGACATTAGCTAGTTTCCTAAGATTTAATGACTATTTAGGGGAATTTTGAAGAGGATAAAATTACACAATTGTATAGTGCATTGCATTTTACAGAACCCCAAGCTAGATCTCAGTTATTTTTAAGCAATAAAACAAGTAATTACACTGGACTCCAATGCAGTAAAATCAGCCACAATATTTCAAGAGCAAAATGGTTAACGGAGAACAACCTTTGGCTGAAATTTCATGTACCAGCAATTTAGCATAAATCCTACTCTATAAATTTCAGAGGAGAAGTGCTGACTTAGTGACATACTGGCTGCTGTAAAATCAATTACAAAAAACTATTTACTTTCATTTCATGCAAAATTTATCATCACTACAGAAGCACAAAACAACATATGGCACTAACAGCCAGGTCTGATTTTTTTCTCTGCATTTCTTTCACAGAATGAGTGGAGAAGGTTAGAAATTATTTTAAATTTTTTCCATCTTATAGTTTAGTTTGCTCATATTTCTTCTTAATAGGTTCATCAGCTGTGGAACCACTCCTCACAGCACTCCAGGGCTTGGAAGTGCTCACAGTATAGCTGCCAAATTAAAAAGACCAGGTTGGTTGATGAGGTTCCCAAAAGGTTCAGACCAACCCACTCTGTTTCATTTTGATATCCTCTGCAACAAAGACCTAACTATTGTAAGCTTTTGTAAGGTTAATCACTATCTTCATTTGTGTAATGAAAAGTGTGATCTCACTGGATCTTAATCTGTAATCAAAATTTACAGTATGGAAAAATTCAGAATTACAGGTCTATTTCTACAAATTCCTATATCTGTTATGTTGTCTAGAAGGCACCATGATGATCTCTAAGTGACAGACCCACTAGTGACCACAAAAATCCACTGAGTTGTAATTTGGTAAATTATATTCCACTGTCAGAAGACAAAAACCACAAGTGCCCCCATTTTCACTATTACTTTCTTTCCTGTATCTGGATGGAATAAATCTTTTAGTCACAAACGAAAAATGGTTTTGTCCCTTTTTTTCTCATTCAAGCCACATATCTACGTGGCAAGGCAGACAATAGCCAACTACAAAGGAATGATATGCTATTGTGTTCAACTGCTTTACTATTTATACTCATTCTATGATACCAAAGAAGCTGACCAAATTTATGGAGGTTCTCGAAAAGAGCAGAAAATATTTAGATAATGGGCCTTATTAATTTAAGCATCAGTTTGCTCTCTGTGCAACAGAATCA